TATAAACTAATTAATATGCTTTATAGGTGGCAAAGAGTGCTCAATTGCAAGTTGTAAGCTAATCTGTTAAATAAAAGATCTGAACTAATATCTAAATGCCGCCACTATAACAATAGGAAAATCACCTACCACCTGATGATTAAAAGCGATATATGTGTAGTACAGAGTTATATTCAGTCTACCAGTCCATGCTGCTGTAGCTGACTTTAACTGTGTTTTTGTTGAATGCAACTGCCAATCAACACCCAATTGCCTTCTACAAGGAAATTGTGTGGTAAATCAGTGATTATACAAAGCACTATCACAAATGATGTAATCTCTGTCTATGGGAGAAATATTTTATAACTTCAAAAAGCAATATCACTCTTAACAAAAGGTGGAAACTCGTTTCAACTTGTAGACATCAAAGAAGATTTTTGCTCAAGCATGTATGCCATTTTCTTGCATACACATGTATCTGCCTATATATTGAACCATTTATTTTATACATGCTTCACTATGCCTGATGATCGCCTTAGCGTGAAACCAGTAGTGGCAATGATGAAACATAACTTGACGTTCCTGTGTACCGGATCTTACACTTACATTATATATACATACATACATACATTGTTTCGGTAAGATAACAAAAGAATATAGGAAACAAATACCACAGACTTTAGAAACACTCTAAGGAAAGTAAAGTGTTAGAAAAATAAGATAAAAAAAAGATAATACATCGTTCAGCATAGCTCTCATCGAATGTTGTCCTATAAATAAATGAATAAAGAAATTGTGTAATAAAATGCCACTGGTACAAATGATGCATAATTGTGCCTGCATGTGGAAATATCAATGTAACATCCAATTTGGAATCAAACACGAGAATAGGGGGTAAGGAAGGCCTACTTACATTCATCGAAGACACTACCAGATGGAGAACTTCAAAGTTTAACATCATAAAAGATATAAAAAATGTTGTCAAAACTTCATACCTCGATACCAAACAAAGGGGAAACATTATCATATGGGAAAATCTTTAGTAAATATGATCATACTAGACTCGTGAATCCATTACTTTGTTAGCAATTATAACTCAAAAGTCTACTATTGGTCTATATAACTTGTGCAGGTCATTCTAATTAGACGAATAGGCCTAGTAAGCCATGATTTAAAAATGCTGCGTGCATTGGCCCTACTAAGATGATTTATCTATAATGCGTCTTCTGAATAACTATTCCGGAGTTATCGGATACGGAAATAATACCCCGAACGCGTTATTGTTTTAACAAAACTTGGTGGGTTTTTTTTGGGTTTTTTAAAAATATTTTTTTAATGTCATGCAGGATATGGATAAAGGCGTTCCATACAAATGTGGTTCGTATTGGCGATCCATACACAATCAGAATGCTACATAAAAATCGTACATTTTTATTGCATGTTATATTAAAGTTATGTGTTTATAGTACTAACCTTCTACTCCAAAACATAACCGGGCACCTGCAATATCGGGTCTTTCTGAAAATACATCTGCGTGTTTTATTAGTAACTCTCGGGCTAGCTTTGCGTCGTTCACTACTATATGTCGCTTTGAGCCTATGTAGAACGAGACAATAGAACCGTATTGTTTCTGCCATTGTGTAAATGATTTAATTGGATTTTCACGGTTGATCCAAGGAATAGACCCCAACAAAGGTAGACTGGGTGGGCCAGGCGGCAATTTAATTTGTCGTCGTTTCCTCTGAATGTAAATGGTACATAGGATTGCGACAAGAGCCAGTATAAAGTATCGTAATTCGCTTACATTCTGAAAATACGTTTGAAATTGGAGCAAAGGCCTATACGTAGTTCCTTCCATCACACGACGTCGATAAGTTGATCAAACACAATGCTGACAATTTGAAACCAAAACCAGAAGACCTTGTTGGATCACGAGGTGGATTTATCATTAAACCAAGGACGACATTAATGGTCCGTTCATAGCAAGATCGAAACCATAGACGAATTTATTCGCGCCAATCGAAAGCGTCGGTTCGCTTCCTGAGGAGCTCTGATTGGTTGCGCATTTTTTTCGCTTCGCGAAAACTCCGAAAGAAATGTATAATAATAATAATAATAATAATAATAATAATAATAATAATAATAATAATAATAATAATATTGATATATTTATTATTATCATAGTATATTTTGTCACTATGGTAAAATTGTTAATTTTTCCTGTACAATAGTGTAGTTGTAATCTGTTATCATTATCAATATTATTTATTCATTATGCTTATTATTATTATTATTATTATTATTATTATTATTATTATTATTATTATTATTGAACCGCTATTAGATACAATATAAAAAGATCAATAAATAAATAAATAAATAAATAAATAAATAAATAAATAAAAAGAAAGAAAGAAAGAATTTAAAAATAAATAAATTGTACTACATTTTTAAAGACGAATATGATATTTGTAACTTAAATCCACCGGAGGCCAGATTCACTGAGTTCCGTGAGGAACGATTTTCTGCCCAGTGGCTGAAATGGATCGCCCGGGGTAAGAACGGGGTGGGGGAAAATCCTATATGATAGGCAGCTGACTCTGAGCTGAGTATATTTGCTAAGCCCTGACCCGGCATGTTATTTAATATATTGTATGTCCATGTATGTTACATGAACAATACTCATAATTGGAAATTGCGGAAAAAGAATGAAAGAGTGAAGTTAATTCACTCGTTTCGAAGTCAATTTCACTCATTTTTTTTTTAACCATTTACAACAAAATGCACTCTATGAAGAGTGAATATTCGTGCCTCGAGATAGTAGAATTAGAGCAGCGTCAGTGACTAAATTAGTCAAAAAGTTTTAACAAATGGAGAAGAAACGAAAATGTTATTCAAGATGTAAGTCTAAGCATGGAGGTATAAAATCTTCATGGTCTAACGGTGCGCGCCATTTCAAGGTATCTCAGAAGTGCCATAATCAAATTTTCTTACCTCAGCCCCACCCATGGTGTGTGATCTCACAGTGGCGGGTTCAGAGCGGTAGGGCCCCCTCCCCCTCCCGGCCTTCATTTCCATGGTGTCACTCCCTGGGCCACCTATTTCAATTCCTGGATCCGCTACTAGAGTGATCTCTAGGCCCTTTAAAGTGAAATTCACTCTTTTTTTTGCATTTGGAGGAGTACTCGCTCTAACAAAAACAAATAATTCATGAAAACTGATGCAATAAACTGTAAGAACAGCAAGATCTTCTCATTTATGTTTGTGTGATTTGAAGTCATTGGGAAAGTGAAATAAATTAGATTAAGCTCATATGTGTGCATTTTATTTTCAATAAGTCGATAGTCTGTCAAGTACTCATAAACGGGCTTGGTGTGGGGTGTGGGGTGGGGACACCTTCAATCCCCAACCTAAAATTTTGCAAAATATTTTTTTTTAAAGAGGAGAAGATAAAGGAAAATTATATTTAGTCTGCAAGTACCATTATCGGCCATCTAAAGGTGCTATAATATGTTTACATCTCCCTGATATTCATTAATTCTGATATCCGACTGATGAAATTAACTGTAACAACCAGTGTAACAACAACTATTAGGGCCTAGATCTTCTCATTTATGTTTCTTTGACTTGAAAATCACTGGGAAAGATCACTGGGAAAGTGAAATTAACGAAATCAAGCTCATTTCTGTGCACTTTCTTTTCATTAACGGTATGTTTTTTATAGTTTACACAAACAAAAAAAAAACACCCCTGGTAATGTTTGTAGTAAACACCCCTGCATTGGAAATGGATATGTCCAAAAGTTATTTATTTTAACCATTTACAACAAAATGCACTCTATGAAGCGTGAATATTCGTGCCTCGAGATAGTAGAATTAGAGCAGCGTCAGTGACTAAATTTGTCAAAAAGTTTTAACAAATGGAGAAAAAACGAAAATGTTATTCAAGATGTAAGTCTAAGCATGGAGGTATAAAATCTCCATGGTCTAACGTTGCGCGCCATTTCAAGGTATCTCAGAAGTGCCATAATCAAATTTTCTTACCTCAGCCACACACATGGTGTGTGATCTCACAGTGGCGGGTTCAGAGCGGTAGAGCCCCCTCCCCCTCCCGGCCTTAATTTCCATGGAGTCACTCCCTGGGCCACCTATTTCAATTCCTGGATCCGCTACTAGAGTGATCTCTAGGCCTTATTTTAAAGTGAAATTCACTCTTTTTTTTGCATTTGGAGGAGTACTCGCTCAAACAAAAACAAATGAATTCATGAAAACTGATGTAATAAACTGTAAGAACAACAAGATCTTCTCATTTATGTTCGTTTGATTTGAAGTCATTGGGAAAGTGAAATAAATTAGATTAAGCTCATCTGTGTGCATTTTATTTTCAATAAGTCGATAGTCTGTCAAGTACTCATAAACGGGCTTGGTGTGGGGTGTGGGGTGGGGACACCTTCAATCCCCAACCTAAAATTTTGCAAAATATTTTTTTTTAAAGAGGAGAAGATAAAGGAAAATTATATTTAGTCTGCAAGTACCATTATCGGCCATCTAAAGGTGCTATAATATGTTTACATCTCCCTGATATTCATTAATTCTGATATCCGACTGATGAAATTAACTGTAACAACCAGTGTAACAACAACTATTAGGGCCTAGATCTTCTCATTTATGTTTCTTTGACTTGAAAATCACTGGGAAAGATCACTGGGAAAGTGAAATTAACGAAATCAAGCTCATTTCTGTGCACTTTCTTTTCATTAACGGTATGTTTTTTATAGTTTACACAAACAAAAAAAAAACACCCCTGGTAATGTTTGTAGTAAACACCCCTGCATTGGAAATGGATATGTCCAAAAGTTATTTATAGCTTCCTGAAATTGCACCACACATAGAAACATCGCTGTTCAGTACAACTTTTCTGTATAAAATAACGTAAACATGCTATTTAACACACAACTCAAGTGTTTTCGTCTCTATTGCTGGAAGACTAGGCCTAAGTCTCATCAAAATTGGAGAGAAGTAAGTTCAATTCCTTCCAGAGGAATAATGCTTTAACTAGAACTAGGGCCTGGTCCTAGCCTAGGCCCTAGGCAAGGCTAGGCTAGTAAAAAGGTAGCGGCTCTGGAGCCTCTGGTGTCCTACTTAATACTAATACTAGGGGCCGGGCCTAGCTAGCTAGGCCTACTTAGGTGGTATGAAAGTAGTACTAGGCTTGGCCTAGACTACTACAGTCTAGGAGGCCTAGGCCCTAGGCCCCTATATACATTTGGGATTTTGAAATATATAATTTTAAATATAGGCCTATTATAATATATCTGCGCACTATATATAGAATAGGCCTATTTTATAATTTTATATGTATATCTGCGCAAAAATTTGGTCTAGAAATCTGTCGTTAGCGCAATGACGGCCAATTTCCGCAGTGATTTTGCAGAAAATTAGGCTTTGACCTAATCACAAAAAGTGTATTGTTGACAAAAACTTGGGAACGGTTAATGAGGTATAGGCCTATATTTCTTGTTCTAGATTTACTTTAACAACCAATATTGTTATGGGAGGCCAAGGAGTTCGTTTCGGGAGAAAAACAGGAGCAACTCTGAAACGTCCTAGAGGTGGGAGACGTTACGGTGCTGGTCATCACACCATTTGCAAGAAAGAGAAGAATGTTGTAGAAAATTATGGTTTGATTTCGAATCAGCTTGCAGAGCAGTTCGATGACGGAGACTTGGAAAGTCATGGTGAGACTCCTTACTACCGTATGCTCATTTGGGTACATAGAAAAGTTTTTAGATTATCACTCCCGCCTCATCAAAAAATTGGAATATATTGATGTGGGAATAAAAAAAACATTTTTGCCACATCATTTACTTGAACAGCATAAAAAACAATGCAAATCTGTGAATGGAAATACATTTTCTTTAAATAACAATAACATTAAACCAGTTTTTGTAATATATTTACAATATTCTTGCCAAATAATGACAGTCCCTTTTTTATCGATTACAAATAGAAGCAATGTTGTATTTTACAATTAAAAAAAAAAAAACCCGCCCGCCTGCCCACATAACTTAAAAAAAAAGAAAACGAGTGATAATCTAATAATTTTTTTTTTATGTGCCCTTATACCATTCTTTACAGACTGCATAGCACACTCACTGCTCTACCAGCCATTGTTAAACTTCTGATATAATTACAGTATTTTTCAATAATGATCTCCATTATACATTTTTACTCACTTGAAGACTACTTTCATCACAAATATTCCATCAGTTCTAACACCCATTTTTGTACTATGACTTTGCTAAAACAGAATTGTAAATAAGAACATTTAAAGTCAGATGCAGGTGTAGAGGCAATACTGTAAGTCAAGTAAATCAATTGAAAATGTCTATTTGAATGAATGATTCTGTTATTTGGTATTTTTCTTCTAGTTCTTGACAATGGAGTTCAATATTCTCTTAATAAACGCAAGAGGTGGGCTATTCCTGGTATTCTCAAGGAAAACATGTTAACGAGTACAGTGTACGAGGAAAACGACTTTGAAGTTCTACTGGTGGAGCGTCAAGTGCTGGGGCACGCTACGCACGGAAAACGAGCAGACTGCATTGCTGTGCATTCGAGCAAAGGGGCGAAGAGGTGCCGTAAGCCCCGAAAGACTTTCTCGCATGCTGATGATCTCATCAGCAATGCAAGGCCGTCAGAGAAACCAAACAGTTCCAGAAAGAAGAAAGTTAAAGCTTCAGTAGTAGAAGAAACAGATGATCCTTCACCTTTAATTCCTGAGGTTCAATATGTTGTTTCATACCCACGACCTGTTGATTCATTTCCCCACTTCAATCCTTCAAGAGATAGTAAAGGTGGGTTAAATTTTGGAAATGACTGTTTTTTAATTTGTCAGTTTTTGGAGTAAAATTAACAAGATTAAGGATGTACAGTATAATATAATTTTGATTAACATATAAGGTAATGTATATAAATGTCTAATAATTTAACTTAAATAATTTGTAATTATTATTATACTGCAGTACTTTTGAGATACTTCATATTTTTATATGTACTGTTTATTGAGCTTGTCAACAGAACAAATTTCCTTTTCGTTTCTGTTTTTTCAGGATTTTTAGTGTTACAATTATTGTTATTATTATCCCTTATGAATCTTATTATTGATATAATTATTAATAATCAAGTGATATTGATTATTATTTTAATTTTGTTTTTAGTAAAAATTAAAAGCAAACAAAAACGATTCAGAAATGCACACCTTTTGATGGATGATCAACTTGACATCGATGGAGCTTTCTGGGAAGAGGATGATATCCAACCTGAATCATTTGAGAACAATTCTACACACAAGGCCCCAAATTTAGGACAATTTATTACAACTTTGACTTCTAGTAACGCAAAAGTCAAACACAAGAAGAAAGCAGTTGTGGATTTAGGCAATGGTCCAGAAGACAGCCGACCCTGTCCGAATAAATTGGCAAAACATCCTGTAAAATATTTTGGAAAGGACTCTAAAGTTATCATCCAGAAAAAACCCAAGAGACCACAGCAGAAAAAAGCAAAAGTTATTAAATCTTCTAAAAAGTGCAATGATGATGATGATGATGATCTTGAGGATAATTGCCAGGATGTCCAAAGTATTTGCATAAATGTGTGTCGCAGATCCAGCAGGTCTGGTCATCTTCTTGAAAGGTTTGGCGAGGATTATGTCGAGGGTGAGAGTCTGCCAAAGAAATTCAGCGTGAACATTTCAGCGTTTGTGACTGATGTCTTGAAGAGTGCTGGCCACTTCAACCTGGTGCGAAAGATGCAATTCTGGGGACATGAATGCCATGTTGTATTCGCAACTGATATTACTGAGGCTAATGAAGCTAGGCCTACTGATTACAACAGAATGAGGTAAAGCAGAAGTTGCTTTTTACTTTACTACCATTTTATTTCAAAGCCCTGTCCAGACTTTCAAATTTCATTTGACAAAAACATGTGACATGCCTAAATATGGTCATGATGACATCACATCATGACCATACATAGGCACATCATGACTATATATGGGCGTACAACAGTTTTTTTTTTTAAAGAAAATTTGATACAGTAGTGTGGACAGAGCATAAGACTATTACATTAGATGCAGATGCGGAGGGGGTACCGGTGGGGGAATTTTTCTAAAGTATGATAATAATAAGATACATGTTACCTTAATCATTGTGGTCTACATTATTGATATGCCTATTTCTTCACATTTCCATATTTCACTCACTATTTGTTTGACTAAATTCAGAGTATTTTTTTCATTACAGGCTTAGTTTATTTGGATTTAAAAACTTAAATTGGCATATTATCTACTTGGACGTCTTTGAGACAAGTCTTGCCAACAGTAGAATCTATTCAGTATCGGAGGTCGTTGACACCATCAAGAGACTACTAGCCGTTCATCCTCCAAAGCCGTAAGTTTTAATATAATTCTAAATAATTGTTCATTATAAATTACTAGTGGTTATAAATGTTTACGATAATAATTAAATTATAATAATAATTTTAATCTATTAATATTCCTAAGAGAATCTTGTGTTTCCTAGAAATAAAAATGAAGTAGCAAAGTTGTAGTGTGCTGGCGCCTTATACCTTCTAATCCAGGGTCTATGTTCAACCCTAGTGGGATGCCAAATTTTTTTCAAAACAACGCCACACCAAGCCTCATCATAGTTTATTATGCGAAGACTATTCTTTCTTCCTGTAATTTTTTTTTAGAACTATCCTGTGTTGATGTACATCTTCTGTTTGTAATTAAAGTTAAATTGAAATGTTACAGGGAATGTCTTTATAAAAATCTTTTCTTCAAGAAAATCAAAGGGATTTACTAACTTGGTCTGCTGCAAATTAACAGTAATTTGAATGTCCTGGATTCAATTATGATTTAAACTGTTCAAATTTTCAAACACTTTTAACAAATTAAGACGTTATAGTAGTATCTAGATTCACTTTTAAAATATTGTTGCCATTTTTTTTTTCAGGTTGGATTTTGATTCACTATGCCTAAATATGAAGCCCCACATTCCGCTTAAAAACCTAAGCTCAGCGATGAATTTGCAAGTTGAAGTTATGGCCCCATGTCGTGCCCTAAAATTGAACACTCAACCAAACAGGACAATTGAAGGACCACAGGTAAATTTGGAAGTTTATTTTGCTTTAAAAAATAAGAATAATTGTGAATACAATTTCAACGTAAGTTTGTCTTTTTTTAATTGATTTTTTATCCTCCTTTAACATGATTGTTTTATTCAAATTTGAAATAAAATGAAATAAAGATAAATATATATAGGTCAGTTGGCCAAACTGGTGTTAGCAACTTTGTTTTTGTGTGTGTTTGTGCGTGCGTGGGTGGGTGTATGTGTGTGTGTGGGGTGTAGGAGGAGGGTGGTGTGTTTGTGGGTATGCATTTGAACCATGGAGATCCTTTGGCTCCTGATTCTTCAATACATGAATTTCAGCAGGACGGCTGAAGTTCAAATTTCTATACATTAGTGTACTGTCCTCTTTTGTATGATGTTCTGAATGCATGCATTTTACTGTAACTTTGTGTACTTCAGAAAAATGTATGGAATTGCCACCCACAAACAGAATTACGAGTTTCCAATAATTTGTACCACTATACTATACATAAGATTAATGGTCGTTTTGGTTTCATAATGATTACATTGGCACGTAGATGAATGTCACATTACATAGTTGTGTGCAAAGCATTGTATGGAATTGCCACCCACAAAGAGAATTATGATTTCCTTATAATTTATGCGACTATACTCAAAATATTAGGTTTATGCATAAGGTTAAATGTCATCTTGGTTTCCATAATGATTACATTGGCACTTAGATGAATGCGACATTACTTAGTTGTTGTTTGCAGTGCATTTTTCCCTTCCTTCTCAATGTTTCTAATTAAATCTGTTATTATATCCAGATGGATGCAATTGATGAACTTTAGCTTTACACTTGAGTGTTTCACTCTAATGGTCTCTTTACATACACACTTATCAAATTTGAATGATGCCCTATACATTACCTTAATTCTATTATGGAATAAAATATAATTTGTTTTGCTCTAGTCAATTGTCAACTTATTTCCATTACACCAGTTGGAAACTTTATTTAATTGCTCATTGGCTTCAGTTAAATCAATTGTATTACTCGGAAAGGATGAAATAGGTTTCAATCATCGGCAAATAAAACGGAAATAGAAATAATCATTTGAAGTTGAAAGGTCATTAATATACATCAAGAAAAGAATTGGGCCTTGGACTGAGCCTTGTGGTACACCATCGATCAATTCCTTAGGATCAGAGAGAATATTATAGGAACAAACATACTGGGTTCTATTTCTCAAATGATTGATTAACCAGCGTAGAAGTTCTCCACCATAATGGGATAATTTGGAAATTCAAATGTTATTATTTATGCTTTACTAAAATCTTTAAAAACTCCAAAAGAATAGTTACCTTTATCAATGTCTGAAAGTAATGTTTGAACTAAATTAATCAACAATTTTGGCATTATGATGTCATATTACACCCAAATATTGGTATATCACATTTATTTATCACTTAGAGTTTATTAGTGTGGAGAGAGCTTAACAGGCCAATTAGTGGTACATTGCTGCCCAAACAATATCTGAAAACATGTTGAAATTTTATTTACTGGATTTAGGATGAACTGTCCGTGACAACTATGGAGACGATGTACTGTGGCATCTGCGATGACTACCTGCTGTCTCCTGGCAATAGGTCACCAGCCCTGGCTATGCGCGCATGTCAACATTGGTTTTGTAGCGACTGTTGGCGGTCTCATATTGAGAGCAGACTTCAGCGAGGAGATCATACCATCTTGTGTCCAGTAAGTTGTAACTACCTTTTTATAATAATAAAGAACATATAATCAGACATTACAAAAGTAATAATGTACCTATAGTGTAATTATTGTTTTGTTAAATGACCTGGGGGTCATTCACAATTATCATCATTTTAAGGCTCTGTCCACACTATCATTTTTTTTTTGGTGACAAATGTATGTGATGTGCCCATATATAGGCATGAGGATGTAATTTAACACCCAAATATTGGTATGTCTCATTTATTTGTCACATAAAATTTGATGTTGTGGACAGGGCCTAACTTCGCTAATGTACAAAGAATATGTCGGGGAAGGGAATTTTGTACACCATTACAAATGCATGTTGTAAATTTTAATTAAAATTACTGGGATATGTTGTTATAGAAGATTTCACGATTGCTGCGAGTAACATAAAAACAAAAGAGGAGAGTTTTTTTTTTTAATGTTTGATAATAATGTACAAATTGAAGAAATTTTACTGCATATTTTTAATACTCTTAAAATTTGTTTCTTCAAGGGCTATGCTTGTAAGGTACCAGTCGATAAGCTGACATTGATGTCTCTGATCCCCGGTGACCAGTTCTTCCGGCACAAGATGCACGCGCAGAACAGGTACCTTGAAGGCAATCCTGAGTGGCACTGGTGTCCCAGACCTCATTGTGGTCGCGTTGCCAGGATGCAAGGTTATGCCAACGGGAAGGGTTTCCTGAATTGTGACTGTGGGCTGCAGTCATGTTTGGAATGCAAAGCAGAGGTCCACTGGCCAGCTACGTGTCAACAGGTTGAAGAGTATCGTCGGAACATGAAGAAAACATGTAAGGAACTGCTTCATTTTCCACTTCTAATACTATGTTGAGTAAAACCCATCCTTTGGGACACCCCTAATAAGAGGACAATTTTTTGGCCATGAAGTGTGGAAAATGTATGTTTTAACACTACAGCTAACTCCTATTCAGGGAACACCCCTATTGAGGGGACACTTTTTTGGTCATGAATTGAGAAAAATATATCTTAATACACTATGGCCAATCCCTATTCAGGGGACACCCCTACTCAGGGGGCAACCCTATTCAGGAGACACTTTTTTCTACTATTACTCATACTACCAGTAATACTACACAGGATAGTACCCAGGATTCATATTAAACTTAAGGTGGTACTGTATTTAACTCTTGAAAATTAATAGGGGGAATCTGTGTCCGGGGTCAGGAAGTGTAGCCCGCCTTTGAGCTAAAAGTTTCTTCTATTGCAGCATAAATGATGTAGATTTTTTATGTATTTGAATGTAACTATGAGGTCAAATTGCAATTCAAGTAATAATATAGGGCTATAGTAGGTCTATAGCATGTCTGTAGTTACCCAATGTCATCTAAAACAATAATAATGAATTATATTTTGTTTATATTTTAGCTGAAAGTTTGAAAAACAACAGACCAACAATAACCCAAGTAGAAGTGAAACGCTGTCCAACATGTTACTTACCAATGGAGAAGAATGGAGGGTGTCGTGTGATGAGGTGTCGTTGTGAACAGCAGTTCTGCTGGGATTGCCTAAGCAAGAAAGGATACGATTGTCCATGTCGTGGCATTGACAATATTAAGAAGTTAGAGGTAAAGATTAAGGACTTTTTTATCTTTTGTCTTTTCATTTTTTTGAAATTAAAAATGTAATGTGAATGCAGTAAAACACCTGTGAAACATGATAAAATATATCTTTTAACACATAGCCAACTTCTATTTAGATGACACTCCTATTAATTGGACACTCTTTTGGGTCCCAAAATTTCTTCTTTAACAGAGCTTTCACTGTATTATTCAAAAGCCAGGATGCGACCCATTTGTTTATTCGTAGCCCTATGTTTTACCAATGTATCACACACTTCCACTTAAAAGCAATAGGCTTTACAAATAATTTTTATCTGTCTGTTTTATTGTAGGTTATTAGGCTGGACCCAATTCCTGTATTTACTGAATATACTTTGGTACAACAAGCCTTGAATCATAACATGACAGTAACTGGATTGTGGAACAGAAGGAAATTACAACGTACTGCCAAGACGGTTGTTACAAAGATGGTATGTCTTTAATCTTAAGTTCTCTTTAATCGTCTTTAAACCTAACGTAATCCTCGTATTTAGTCTCTTAAATTCTTTTGTAAGTTTTATTGTTACACCATATTGAATCAAATGCATCAAGAACAAACATTGATTATGTTGGGTACAATACAATAGTTCCTGCATTTCTTTGTTTTAAACTACTTTCATTGTTATTTAAAAATTAATTGCTAATACAGCTATTAAAAGTTTTTCAATCTGGTATTATTATTATTATTATTAGTTCCTGAAAACATACGAACCATCAAGCAAGTTGGATGTCCTCATTCCAACCCAAGCAACACCCTCATCATGGAGTGACGTACCCAAGCTACAGCAACTGTTAGCTCTCACTCACGAAGTCTTGCAGTTTTTCTTTGAGGTAATATTCCAGATATTTTTTTTTTCATTGTATTGTATTTTTGAGTATATTTTTTTAGGTTAAAACATTTTTACTACAAACAAGGCCTTCATTTTACAAGCTCCTGTTGTTTCGTTTCTTTTGTCTTACACAAACAAACAATGCACTGACACTTTAGGAGGTAGACGGGATTGTCAAAAAGTGAATCGAATCAACTATCAATTGACTTTTTGACTTCCTAAAAGACTCTCCAAACTAGCATTTTATGAAGGTCCTTTTCATCTTTTATCCCCTTTAAAACATTTTAAAAGTTTGTTTTATTTGTAAATTGATTTTATCATGAATAAACAAAATAATTGTATGAATTGATTAAGTTGTTATGTTTGGTGTTGAGATTTTTTTTTTGTTGTCTCACAATTTGGTTTGCGGGACCTTAGCAACAATATCCAAGGGGTGGGGCTTAACGGAACGGTGCATTATAAAATAGAAAGCATATGTTGGTCTCTGATTGTCCATTTTACTGGAAGATTAACCTTTTTAAAGCCTGGTTCTCACGAGAGCCCTAGTATCTAGGTCGGGAGCTAACCATTAGCGCTAACCGTTAGCACTTGCATGAGAATGCCCGATCGGTTAGCGCTACCCGTTAACAGTATCCGGATACCGCTGACGGTTAGCAAGCGCTATTGGTTAGTAAGTTGAGCGCGTTTTTATCATCAACCAATCACACGTACGCGTTTACAATTTTCAGTTTCTTATTGGCCAGTAATTTGATCATCATATTTTTGGTATCTGGATCGGGATCTTCTCGTATGGATGCCCGGCAGCTAACGGTTAGCAGGATCATCCTGCTAACCGTTAGCTGCCGTGTGAGAACATAGCTTTTGTGAATTTATATTATAACAAATATGATAAAATTTTTATTGAGTGATGAAAATTTTTTTATTTCTCTATTTGTAAATTTATCTCTATTTTTTAACAGACAAAAAAGATTCTAGAATATTGTTGCGTTCGGATGAGCAACTACAGCAAACGGTCACGAGGCCGAGACTTTGTGAGTCAAGTTGCCAGACTGGAATACATTGTTCGAAGACTCGAAGAGGTAAACATAACTTTCAATCAATCAATCAATCGTTTCCATTTATATGGCACTATTCCAACATTGCATCTGGCACCATTAAAAAAAAAAGATTATAAAACATTAGTTGCTGAAGATTTTTTATAAAGATAAGTTGCATGGTCTGAGTTACACAAAATTTATTTCCATGCCTGCAATTAGCCAACAATGAACAATGCATGAAATATAGAAAATTTGTAAATATGTATGTTTTTTCCCCCCACCAGATCCTGAGAGGCAATTGCAGACAGCAATACACACTTGAGGCCACAGAATCCATTTTGCGGAGCTTGTTGCTTTCTGGAAACAATTGGCTGAAACTTCTTGTGCATCAAGCATCAAACTCTTAAAACAATCACTAAGATTGTTTAAAGCAGCATCAAGGGGAGAGGGGACAGGTTTAGGGGGTGCCGAGTCAACCCCTGCCCCCTCACCCCCTCTCTTTTTAAAAGTGAAAAAGAAAGAAAAAGAAATAATTGATTGCCCAAAACGCCTTAGAGATTATATGCGGGAGTCTAGAAAACAACAATTTTGTGGGGGAATTCCCCAGTCCCCCTATGGTAGTGTTGTCCCCTACGGTAGATCTGGATCTGCACCTGTCTAGGAGAGGGAGAAAGGGGGAGATAATTCATACTGGCTTCCATCCGTCATTCTGGAAAATTCATTTCTGAACATCATCATAAAGATCAATATTTTAAGCAACATGTTGTTATTTCTGATAACACCATAAGTAAAGGGGATTGGAGGGTGGCTGGCTCACCCACCCACTCTGTCTCCGCCCAGAGAGTATGCAACTGCAAGAGGTCCGACTCTCGGGGTTTTTTTGGAATGTAGTCATGTTTCAAATAGTACTAATATGAACTAGAGGGCGTCCTTCAAAAGACGAGTTTCAAACTCCATTCAAGCGCCCCCATCTCGTGGTAGTAATTTTTCTTTTTACGTTTCAATGTCTGCATACAAAATCAGGGCAGTCTGGCCTCTTGCAATCCTATACTCTTTGCTTTGCCTGTGTTATGTTATTTATTTCAATCAATTGTATATTGGATATTGTGTAGGTACAACATACTGAATTGACACACATTCTTCAAATTGTGCTATCTAAATACTGAATATAATTTAAATATTCATATTATATTTTCAGAGTATTAAGTGATACTTCTCTTTATAAAACCAATGCAAGTCAATCTGATCAAACTGGATTTTAGCAACATGTTGATAAATTTCTTGAGATAGATTTTTATAAAATATTTTTAAAACACAAAACTATTTGGTATGTCACGTTTTTGTCAAACATAATTTCATAGTCTGGACAGGGATTTAAAGAGGCCTCATTTTATATTAGGATTAATGTACAGTGTATTATATATGTATTATTATTATATGTGTATATATTATTGGTATGTGTTACTCATAGAGGCAAATAATATTGGTTTTGCATTAAAACAAAGATTATAAAAGACAGTTTTAATCAGTATTTTTTTTTAACAAGTTTCGTCTTCATAATACTGTTATTAAATAATTATCCCATTTTAGATTGCAATCCTGTATATTTCATATACAAATAAGATAATAAAAATACAAATAATCATCTTCCTGATGACATGGCTGGGTCTGCTACTTTCAATAGTTGGGGGGGGGGGATTGTGGACGTGTTGCATATTAATAGAACCAATATAAATCGTTATTGACAACGATATTGTACGACAGAAGACATGTTTGAGAGGGACAGACTTCGCCATCAACCGAACTAAAAAATAATTACAGAAGACAACCATCCATTTTATGAGAATTAGCCCTACTGTCTGCCTATACACAGACTTCCTTTGAAGAGTAAAACAAAACGGATGCACAGATCCTTCAGTACAATTCCTCCAACATAATACATGTGAATGAAATAGATAACCTTAAAGGTCATTCATTAGTATCCTGTCGTCGTGTAGGCCTTATACGCACATCTTCGTAACATACGGAAACTGATCATGTTTATACTATAGTATACCGAAACTTTAGAACTCACTACCACATTACATCATCTCTCCTTGAGTCCTTACTCCAAAAATGGCATCTAACACGCTAAGAGTCTTTGATCATAGCAGTTAGTATTAAGTAAACCAGGTGTAATTAGCTGTGTAATATTATTAGACCAACAATATATCCATGCTTATCGCCCTGCCGGTGATTTTAAGCAATGAAAAAACTTTCTTATTTTGAAGCGAGCAAACAGTTTCATTTTTAAGGATTAGATATATCAGTTTTACTAGGCCTTAAATTTAATATAATGTTTGGCTAAAGTATGGCATACTACTAGGCATATTATTTTATTATCATAAGTTTCTAGCACATAATGAACATAATGTTCCATGCATTGAGTACCTCACGTGACTGTAAAACCTCGAAATAGAAGCCCAATCCCGAGAAGAATCACATACGCCTCCTTCACCCCCACCCCGTCTTTAGTTTGCAAAGTTAGCTTCGAAAAGTATAGGCCTACAGATGATGGGAAGAAAGTTTTATTTTCATTTTTGTATGACGACTAAATTATTAGGTATTGCTCAAACAATAGTACCGGTATTCTAAACGTATACCGTAAAACCTTGAGCAAAAGCAGTGTGCTTTTTCGTTTTTTTTTGTTTTTTTTTTGTTTTTTGTTCTTTTTTTTTTTTCAATTTAATGGGCTTTTCTTTAAGATGAGGCTTCTTTTCGAGATGGGCTTCTTTTCGGGCTACTTTTCGAGATTAAGCCCCTTTGGTCTTCTATTCGAGGTTTCACGGGGTACCCAACTTCAAAAAATGATTTTATCGCTACCGTGTGAGGGCGGACTACGTGCTAGGAATGGAAAAGAATAATGGCGCACGATGATGCTCGCCGCACCACCGACGGTGGTAAAGATGGAAAATATGCCGATTTAGCTGACTTGGTGAACCCAAGCAATGTTATGGAATCTTCAACTAGTATTCATCCATGTATAGGATTAGAAACAACACAGGCTAAGTGTAGTCAGACGAAATCATACTGCAAGGATTTTATTCAGGTTCGTTCTATTTTTAATGATGTTTCGCTAGAGTACTCGCACACACAGACAGTTGATTGTGTGTAAGTAGGCGATCCGTGAAGCAGCTTGGAATCGAGAGGATTAAACAGCCAACATGCGGAGAATGTCAACTCTCTGTTCTATTGAATTAAATGCTCTGAAGACTTCCTCCTGCATTTGATTTTTCTTCTAGGCGTAGGTTAATATTTTGTATATGATAATATGTATTCCTTTTTGCTAAATTATATGTCTGAACAATGTATTTTGATATTTAAAAGAAAGTGGGTCTGAGGTCGCGATGGTCGGTTTACTGTTTTGTCAACATTTGCTGTGCAGGCCTGCTGAATTCGCCTTGTAATTATGGGTACCTCATCGGTATGATGGTAAATCTGCGCCTAAAAGCCTAGCCTAGTAGTAGGTAATTAATATGTAAAGGTACGTAGAGCCTGGTTAGTTAGTTTACAATAGCTGTAAGTGCCTATTGAACTTCTTGACCAATTCTTTGCTGTTTAGGAACTTTAAAACATCAATATTTAAGAATAAGATCAATAATACTCCGGCCTATCTTCTTGCTTGATGCCTCTGCTTGTTGAAGAATTGGGTTGTTTTTTAAGCTTATTTAAAACTATATATATTCTTCCGACATGCCACATTGCATAGCGAGACATGAGTTTAAGGTTAGGGTCAAGCTAGCTCCACCAATCAACACCTCAGATTTATTTATGTAAAATCATCAATATCCACTGCCTATTTACTGTAAAATGACCATCTCGTTACAGCAGCTTACATTTATCTGCAAGAACACAGTTGGAGTTCAGTACAAGAAAAAATGCAAAAAGTTAAAATAAAACGTACAGTATTTTCATAAATATACCATACATCTAGGAAACATGCAGGTTTATTTACTGTAGGCCTACAGGACAGTGATTGTTGGCCCATATTCATATTTTATGAACTTTCCATTATGTATCAAGAAATGTTTGCTTATTTTAATCATCACAAAGTGCTTTTGGAGTTTTTTGAATAGTTAATTTGGTGTTTAATAATGCTTTTAAAAAATAATGTGTATCAAAACTATTTTCATGTTTGTTTTAGTATCGCTTTGATTTTTTTTAAAGATGCTTTTTTTTATATATTTATTTTTACTCACATATTTTCATAATATGTGTATTAAAACTATTTCATGCTTGTTTTAGATACTGTAGTGCTTTGATTTTTTTTTTAAATGCTTTTTTATATATTTATTTTTACACACATATTTACATAATATGTGTATTAAAACTATTTTCATGTTTATTTTAGATAGTGCTTTGATTTTTTTTAAGATGCTTTTTTTTTTATAAATTATTTATTTCTACTCACATTTTTTGTCCATTAATTGATGAAATATTTTTTGTTAAACAGACTTTTGAAGAGTTAATGCAACAATGCACCGATGATACATTGTTCCGACTGTACTGCAAAGTTGTGTACGCTCTGGTAACCCATGTGCATGAACTCTGCAAGTGTAAGCAGTGTCTCGTTCAACTTACAAGTGTCATTGATCAGCTGTGCAGGTTTGTACACTAAACAAGTACTTCTATTCAGTATTAAATAATATGAATATTTATGTAGCACCTAAGGTTAACAATATGCCTTTCCGCTAAGCTTCGCACCCTTGTATTGTTGCTAAGTTCCCACAAAATGGCCGTGTTAAAACAGCAAACATGTGTTTGTTGTATAACACGTGTGCTTGTGAGACGCGTGGGTATTCCTGGTCCCTTTCTGATTGATCAGTTGTTATGGCACTCCAGGGTCCATTTTGAGGTGTAAACAAAATGTAAAAAAAATATTAATACGGTTAAAAACGGCAATAATAAAATTCGACCCCAATGTGGGATTGAATAGGCAGTGGATCCAGAGAAGGTGGCATTCAAGTAGTCTTGCCTACTGATGTAAAGTTGACGTCGCTGTCTCATTGTGACAATTTCTACACAGGTAATATAAGAAAGGTAGTGTACCAGGCCCCAGAACTGGATAAGTGTGTGGCTCCACTACCGTGCATTGCCGAGACAACAGCGCTACCTTAATTAAGGAAACATAGGTGAGATCAACTTCGAACAAGAGCGACCGCTCACCGGTCCGCGCGTTCTCCTCCTTTAAATATGGTATAGGCGCATATTATTATATTGGGTTTTTTGTAAGAGCTAATGAGATAGAAATGTTTTAATAATTAGGTTGTTTATTTGTACAAAATAAATTATTATTTAGAATGTTCATTTGTACAATATTAAAATATCTAAAAATAGAAAAAAAAAGAAAAATTTCTTAAAATTAGAAAAAAAAATTGCATACCAAGACAGGATTCGAACTCACAAGTTCCTTAAGTTCCTTAGAACACATCGTTAACCGACTGCACAGTCTATGCTATCTATGTTTTGTTTTGTAGGTGTAGGGGGAACCCTGGGGTCTGACTTTAAAAAAAATTGCAATGAATGTTTGTTGGAAATCACCTCTAGTTTATTTGTACAAAATTTCCTGCAAACCTCTGTTCAAATCTGGTGACGCTGGATGCTTTTAAAATTTTGGTAACAAGAACAAGAACAGCAGTGAGGCTCTGGGGTCAGCTGCTTGCACGGACCAAAAAACCACTAAAAAAATCCAGCAGAAAAAAAATATGACACCATAAACCAACCTCCCTTTGATATTATTTGGATTTTTTTTTTTGTTATCCCAGAACTGTATGTAACAACTATAAATAATCTTCGATCATACATTGTAGTGAAGAGGGTATTGGGGTTTGTTGCATGTAATGTTTTACAAATTTTTACAACAAAATATGGGCTGACTGTCCAACACAACAGTGGGCACTTTCTCTCATAAAATCTGATATTCGATATAAGTACTGTACCAAATATGTACTTAATAATATCACACACAAAAAATTAGGACAATTACACTAGTACCACAAGCTAATAACAGTCATAAACAAGCTATCAAAATTGGGTCTTTTGGTGTTCAAATTTTACAAAGGCTTTTCTATCAGTTGTTCAACCTGATATCTGCCCTCTATTTACTCTAAAGAAATAGAGATTAATGTAGAAACATGATTCACTTGGCTGTTCCATCAATTGATCAGTTTGGATCTTCTCTAATCTCACATTATAAGAGGATGCTCCATTGTCCCTAGTTTCATATGCTTAACATGGTAACACCTCTCTCAAATCTATATGAGTTGAACAATTTGATGAGTATATTAATGTATTAAGTTAATTATGGTGTCTGAGTTTGTTTATTTGCCATTTGCATATACCGGTACTGTAAAAAACATAAATGGAAATCGCTTCATGAAATATTATCAAATTATAATAATTCATCAATAAATTAACAAAGTAATTGCATTTGCTATGAATTTATTGAATTAATTTTAGTGAATACATACAGTATTTGATATGTTGGCTACATTAATCATCAGAATTTAAGTTTGAAGATTAATGGGTTTAATTTCACTTTAATTAAATTGTATATTGCTCTATTAAACACAGAATTCTGTGCAGCAAATAGAGTCTACTCACATATGAAGTACATTAATTCAATTCAATATTAAAAGTTAACTATACAGTAATTTATGTGGTGAGCTTTTTTTTCACTTTAATTAATTAAATTTTGTTCTCTTAAACTTAAACACAAGTTTTGTGTAGTAATTACAGTCTCATTCACATGAAATAAAAATACCTACAGTACAGTAATCCAATTCACAATAAGACCTTCATAAACGTAAAAGAAATAAGAAATTTGAGTGTTTAATATTAGAACAAAAATACAAAATCCATGTATTAAGATCAACTAATAATTTATGTGGTGAGCTTTTTCACTTTAATTGATTGTGTTTTGTTCTCTAAAACACCAAATTTTGTGCAGTAATTACAGTCTCACTCACATGCAAGAAAACACCTACTGTACATTACAGTAATCCAATTCAAAATAATACCTTAATAAACTTAAAAGAAATAAGAAATTTGAGTGTTTAATATTAAATAACAAGAAATACGAAATCCAAGTGTGAAATGAAGATCAACTTACTATACTATAATTTATGTGGTGAGCTTTTTTCACTTTAATTAATTGTATTTTGTTCTCTTAAACACCCAGAGTATGTAATCCAACAACTCAAAATAAGATCTTAGAAAACTTGGTAAGAAATTTGAGTGTTTAATATTAGATCAGCAAGAAATAATAAATTTGAGTGTTACTGTGGTGAGCTTTTTAAGATATTTTAAGAACAAGACAACACTATAATTATTTCCTTCCCAATTTGCACAAATTATATTTATGTTCCTTTTACCTCTTGCATAATAATGCCCATATTACTTACTAGTAGTTAATAAAGTAGGTTATTAATTGACAGTTTAGTCAAAACAAAGAAAAAATTGATTGTGTTCATTTGTGCAAGTTCTTAAACTTGTTCCTAAAAAGGTAAATTTGGCCATTCAACCCTTGATTTTTTTTCTAGGTGCTCAGATTTTTCCATCACAATATACAAATATTGAATATTGTTTATGAGTACAATGGAAAGAATATTGTCATGAGTTGAATAATGGAGTGTTTCATTTAAATGAGGATAATATAACAGTTCATCTTTCTTTGATAGTGATACTGTATAGTAATTAGTGGAAATCTATTGTAAATTCAGTTTGTGTTTCCTAATTGTTTTTATTGCTGCAATCAGTCTGTAAGAAGTCTGTGTTAAAGCCCCATTCCCGGCAAAATTTCACTAAAAACAGATTTTTTTTTTGAAATGATGCATATGCATTACTTTAATTATTATAAATCATGGAAAAATATTGGCATAAGTTTTAGTTTTACGTAAAAAAATTGAGAAAAAAAAAAGAGAAATACAGACTATTTCTCATAGAATATTACCATTTTCTCGACGAATTCTTCGTTACTAGGCAAATTCAGAGGTTGTAGATTGCATCCTTTTGCTTTTATGTATACTTTATACAGTCAATAAAGTGTACCCTCTGTAATGGGATTAGTTTTTGTACTTCGCATCTTGCACAATGCGGTCAGAATCAGTTTTTTAACAAATTTGAAATAATTCCTATGAAATATTATATTCCACAAGTGTCAATACCAGCAACAGAAATTATCATGTCGGCTGTTTTTATGTGTGATAACAGAACCTAAATCGAGGTCTTGTTCGTAAATTAATTCAGCCATGCGAATTTGTATAAAGATAAAATTTAATCATATAATTTGTAAAAATGCAATTTTTAATGTTTTTTAATCTGTGATGTTTGTGTATTGTTCATGAATAATTAATCCTTTGATGTTTTTAATACTTTCCTTTGATTTTTTTATATTACTGTTCTGTATTATTGTAAGTATCGTTTAATTCAGTCCTCGACTGCGATTTTGATATTGAATAAAATGAAATGAAATGAGGTACTGTAAGGCTAGGCCTAGCCTAGTAGTGTTTGATAGGCTAATGTTTTTTCGGCGCCTACTATATTTCTTTGCAGACCTGTCGCAAAATCAAACATGAAAAATTCATTCGCATATATTTTTTGTGTGGAACACAAAATTTGTTTGTGTGGAACACAAAAATAGAATTTCAGTCTTATTTTTACATTTTTTTCATGCTTTTTAGGAGTGTCTAAATTCAGTTAAACTAGCAATTCCGTATTATATTTATAAGTCCTTATAACATTATACAAAAATTAGATTTTACTCAACAACAAAATTTTGCCGGGAATGGGGCTTTAAGTAGTGATCCATCTTGGGACTTCCTGTTGGAAACAATAAAATATGTATAAAGGGGAAGTCTTGCTAATTACAATACTACAATGACCTAATACTTTAATACCTTGGATAATTTGTTTGACAAATAAATTTCTACATTGAGGGAAGAAAATAAAATGGTTTATTTCAGGAAAGAAAATATTGATCAACATTATTTAAACCAAGAAATAATCTAACCATTATTTTAAAAATTATTTCAAAAGTTATTGTTAAGTATTATTATCTCTACTGACATTCCTTAGGATGATCCATCAGATGGGTTATTCTGCTGTTGGTTTTGTTTGTGAATAACACCTCAATATACTACAGTATTAAAAAAAAAAAGAGGGATGTCCCCTCATGTAGTGACCATTAGTGTTGCCCTGCAGCCACTGCAAACCCCAAGGACCTAATTCAAATTCCCTTCTTGATATTCAACAAATGACCATAACATCTACACATAAAATTATATTTTAAAAATTGATAAAACGCCTTGTGATTTGTAATTTCATATGACCGTGCTGCTTGTGTGACAATTATGTTATACCACTTTTTCCATAAAGGAAAATGCTGGACATAAACCCGGAATTTTTTTCAGAACACGGACATGAAACTCGAGTCAGTATAAATGGCAAAAAGTATGAATCTGGTTGCCACTAAACATTCTGGGTTTTCACTGTTTGGACGTACAGTAGTACTAGGCATTGGGCAACTCAGGAACACACATTGGAATAGCCTATGTATTGCACCAGCTCTGAACAACATTGTACTTGAAAACCTAGCCATGAAGGTA